TATTAAAAACACACACTATACACATACAAACACACATCTGTTATAATTTTTCCATATGGCATTAGACAAACTCTCTCCCTGCAATTAATAATACAGCATCATAAACAGATGATTGTGAACTACCGACTGCGCCGGACGCTTTTAATTGGGAAACTGCTAAAGGAGAAGTGTTTTTAATGCACAGACTGACTCTGAACTGCTCATATTTGATGTATCATAAACACATTTATATTTATATTCATATTTTGGGCTATTCCTCGCAATAGCCAGTGGCTACTTATGTTTATGAAAGGTATCTGGAAACAGCCCAACAGGAAAGAAAACAATCTTTTCACATTTTGCATGAGGCGGCGCCAGTTTCGTTTCAAAAGAGAATGAAGGTTAGTGTGGTCTCTCAAGCAAATGGTTCAAGCGGAAGTGCGCTCGTGAAATCTGTGAAAGCGGGAACCATCCGCCACGACAACACGCATTGAGCAAACACAATGACGTCATCTGTGAAGCGAAACAAAACAGGAACTGAATTATTCCAGGAGCGCAACGTTAATGCTGTGCTGAAAGCCACTTCCTTCCTCGACCCGCTCATCTGATACATGTGGGAAGTGTTAAGAACAATAGCACCTGCAGGACGGGCGGCCAGGAGGACGTTCAGCTAAAGAAAACAGGGGCAGGTCACACTGGTCTGTCACACAGACAATATATGAGGTCAACGGATGATTATCATCTCCCATTTGTCGTGAAATGAGATATCGCAGTGCATTGTGGGATGCGTCGAGGGAAGAGTTTTGACTGACAGTGTTAAGAATTAAGGCGTATACACACACGTGCGCAGGCATCTGATGCAACCGGGTGGCAATATTTGAAGCGTAGGTTTTCAGAACCGCTTGATCTTGCTAATCGTCTGAATCTGGCGTTGACTGACAGGACGGAGAGGTTACGTGTCACTCCGCTGTCAACGGTCATGTTCTCACTGCAGTTTATAGATGCCCGTGGACTCACGCCGAGGTCAATTACACACACCTGTCAAGGGGACATCTTCTCCAAATCAGCCTCCAGGAGATCAGATACACAATACCACACACACACACAACACCGTCAGATATGTAGTTCAACTCAGATGTGAAAAACACGCAGGCTACAGGAAGTTTTCAACTTCTAATTATGTTTTGCAATGTAACAATTTATGCATATCGCCCCCCAAATTGTCATTACCGTAATCTAAAACCAGATATTATGATATTGTTATTAATATTAATATATCGGTAAGTGCTGGCTTTAGAATAAAAATTATGTGCTGGATGCTGATTGAAATAAAAATATTAAAAATATTGTTTATTATTTCAATAATTATGAAACAATTCAAGAATATGGTGGGAAAATGGGCTTAATTGAAATGAAAAATGTCAAAATGCAAAACAAAACCGTTATATTATTTTTTCTATGTAATTATTTTCATGCCAGTTGCACAGAATTCCCAGAATTATATAAATTACATAAATGTATCATTATTTTTATAATTTATAATTTTTTATAATTAAAAATATATAAATTTTATCATTATTTTAATCATTATTTTAATTAAAAAATATATTTATAAAAGTGTCATGAAATTATTAGTTTTTTTAAATACATTCACCAATATTTATCTTTTGCGTTTTACATTTTTTTCTATTTTAAATTTTTTAACGACAAAAGTAATTACAAAGTAAAACTACTTTCAAAACAAATTATGTTAATTCGAAAATAATTCGAAAGAATATCGTGCAAACTGGAACAGTAGAAATAATAATAATAATAATTCATATATAAACTCATAAAATTCATAAAAATTAAGCACATTTTCCCACTGAAAACAATATATTTTTATATATTATATATAGTTTAATTTTAGATTTTTTTGCGATTAAAACAAAGACTGAAATGTTAAAAAATATTATAAAACTAAACTTTATAAAAATATAAAACTAAATCTTTTTTTTCCCATCAGGTTCAGTTCACTACATCACTAAACAGCAGAAACACTTCAAACATGTGTTCGGTCACACACACACACACACACACACACCTCTGTGAATGTGAAACCAATCTCTGCTCTTGAACGGCCTTAATCAGAAATAAGAGCAGTTCTGCTTGGAAAGCTGCGAGTGTTATGAGAATGTCAAAGTCTGTTGGTAAACAAAAGAGCTATTCAGAGGCCGAGACGATCCCCTGAACCCTGATGGGGGCCGGGATAAAGTTTCCACGTCCAAAGGGTAAAACGGAAAACGTTAAACACAGACATACAAAAAGCCTCTCTCATGCACACTTACGAAACATGGTGTTGAACTGTTGGGGGTTCAGGTTCCACTTGCCCCATGGAGTTTTGTGACCTTTCGACTGGGCGTAGTGGGCGTGGTTAAACTCCGGCTCGGTCCCGAAGGAGTCCAGGACCCTAAGCATGCACCTGAAACACACACCGTCAACGCTTGAGTGACAGCAGCACACAAGACACTCGAAAACAAGACAAACCAGCAAAAATAAATAAACCAAATAATTATATATTGCATAATACGGAAGCATATTGCATTCACTTGAAGAAAAAAATCTACTCTGTTTTTTCAGAATTACGAGATAATTTTTCATGAAAAAAAGTTTTGCTCTGTTTTTCCTGAGTTAACGAGTTAATTATCTCAGAATTACGAGATAATTTTTCCATGAAAAAAAACAAAAAAACGTTTTTGCTCTGTTTTTTTTAATGAACAAGTTAATTCTCAGAATTACAAGATATTTGTCATGGAAAAAAAGTTTGTTCTGTTTTTCTGAACTAACGAGTTAATTATCTCAGAATTACGAGATAATTTTTCCATGGGAAAAAAAAAACGTTTTTGCTCTGTTTTTTTTTTTGATTAACAAGTTAATTCTCAGAATTACGAGATCATTTTTTCATGGAAAAAAGTTTTTGCTCTGTTTTTCTGAATTAAATATTGAAATATATTGTAAATAGATTTCATTTAAATATTGTAAAATATTATTTACAATATAAATAATATTATTTGAAATATTGTGAAATATTATTACAATTTAAATAATCAGTTTTCTATGTGAATATATAGTAAAGTGTGATTAATTCCTGTGATCAAAGCTGAATGTTCAGCATAACTCCAGTCCTCAGAGTCACATGATCCTTCAGAAAACACTCTACTATGATGAGATAAAAATATATTCAAATAAAAAACAGTTTTAAACTGTCATAATATTTAACAATATCAGTTTTTTTTGGTGCGGTATTTTTAATCAAATAAATGCAGCAGAAGAGACGTTAAAAACGTTAAAAATCGTACCGATCCAAAACTTTTGACTGGTAGTGTACATTTCTATATATTTATCTTTTGCAATTTTTTTTTATATATATATATATATATTTAAGTATTATAAAAAAAAAAAACTCAAAAGAAAAAGAAAAAAATAATTTCAGAAGACTTTCCAAAATCTGTCCAAACACACAGAGCTTCTAATTAGAGTAAAATAAACGAATGCAGTCTATAACCCCAGAGGAAGTTATCCGTTAGCAGACGATAGTGTTTCTGATTCCTCGATAAGCCCTATCCAGACTGGAATAACAGGTCGGGTTCACAGCGGCGCGGAGAGCACGAGATCGACCCCACACTGTCTGAAGCAGGAGAGATCACCAGGAGATCAGGTTTAGACTCATTTAAAACGGCTTTACGTGGCCAATAACGCCCCGCCGTGTCAACCGAGCCGAAGAGAATGTGATCGAGGAAAGGTCGCGGCCACACACAGATGTTAATAATAAAACACAAATGTGTTGTGAACGTACTGATAATGGACCCAGGACGGGCCCAGAGTCTTCTTGAACTGAGCCAGACCGACGATGTCTATGTAGATGAGCTCCACGATTTTATCACCCTTCGTGGGGCAGCTGGACTTGTTGCCCATGACCTTCTTCATGATCCTGGCGAGAGACAGAGAGGAATTCAAATGAACTGAACGGAGATGATATGATACTGGAGCACACGGACGGAGGCGGAGACTCACTCCTTTAGCTCAGCGAGAGAGGCGGAGATTCGGATGTCGTGTCCGAGCAGGTACAGCGTGGTGATGAGGTCACTCCACTGGACCAGCTCTCCCAGAGGACCCCCGCTGAACGCGTTCTCCGCGATCTTGAAACCAGACTCCTTCGTCAGGAGACCCAAGTGCACCAGGATCTAAGATAATAAAGAAATTATTTATTTTTTTCCCACAAAAATGTCTACAATATTCAAATGTAAATAAAACAATTTTAATTAAAAATTTAACACTGTGAAAAATTAATTTAAAAATAAAGTAATAATAATAATAAATAAAATATTAAGCAACAGTAAATATAATTATCTTTTTTTTAAATCACTCTAAAGTGGACAATTCATTAAATATGGTGATTAAGTAATCATTGATATATATATATTAAAATCCTTTATTATAAAGAAATATAATAATAATAAAATTACATTTTACTAATAAAAATGTTATAAAATATTTACTAATGATTCATTTTTTTGTATACTATTTTACTGCATTATTTTCTTACATTATTTATTGCATTATTTTATTAAATCACACTACATTAACAAATTAACATTGACAGTCCTAATTAAACCTGATCAAAACATCTGATTTCATTTATAGAGTATTGAAATATAATAGTTAACTTAAAAAAAATTATAAATCAATTTAAATAAACCTTAAATTATTGCAGCAATAAATAATACAAAATATTAGCCTTTATTGAGGATCTCTTGAAATAAGCAACAGTAATTATGATGCACTATAATATTATATCTAAATAAATATATAAACAATATTCTAATATATAAAAGTACAGTCACTTTAAACTGACTAGTAAGTAAATATATATTTACAAATCAATATTTTTAGAAAGTATAATATATTTTTGGTTTAATATAAAAAAAAATATTTTCTAAAAATATTGATATACATGATTAATGAATTTCATTTTCATTTCTTAATAATAATAATAATAATAATAATAAAATTGCACTAAATTATTTAAACGTCTGATTCCATGAAATTGAATGGTTAATATCTGACCAAAACCCGTTTTTTACAGTCTTAAAAATCAGATATGCTTATTGTGAAGAAGTAAATGGAAACAGAAGGTTGCATTCTGGGTAAAAACAAAAAACGGTGGGTTGCGATATCTTAAATTCTCTCATGTCAGTATTGCAGTCTTCTATTTTTTTCATTCATACCATTGGTTTTAGAATTAATATGTCAAGGGACTCATATCATACGCAGTCACATTAGAGTGGTGGATGAGTATCAGCAGAGGATTATGGGTAACAGTGACATGCTTTTAAGCTCTCAACGACTGAGGTTATTTCAGGTTTGAAACCAGGCGACCTCTAAAGAGACTCTCACGTGTGCTTTGTGGTTTTGTGTCCCGCTGTGCCGCATGACAGCAGGTGACCGAGAAAGACAAAGACGCTTTTGGGAAAGTGTGTGTATCTGCAGTTGTGTGCATTATTCAATGGGAAACACCGGCAGCTTCATTAAAGGCCGCCATGTAGAGTCAATCGTGAAATTTTTCACTCACCTTTTTGCGCTTGTGTTTGGCGAGGTTCTGTTTGGTGGCGAGGGAGCGAACGGCACTGACCCACGGCTCCTCCATTCGCTTGATCCGCAACATCATCCAGCGAAACTCCTCGCGCCGCGACATCACGCGATACAGCTCCTCGAAACTCGTGCGGATCTCCTTCTGTGCAAACAAAATGCAGAAAACACTGAGGCTTTCTTTTTCCTTTTACTCGTTCTCTCTCTCAGTTTAAATTAGGACATGTTTTATGGAAAGCTCATTTTAATGACAAACGAATAAAAATGATTCATTTAAAGACCTGTGCCTTTCTGTCGGCTTCATCCGCAATATTTTTGATCCTCCACAGCAGCCGAGGGCACCAGTTTTCAACCTAGCACACACAAAAACGGTGAATTAGCATTCGTCCTCGCTAACGATCAGACCAAGCGTGCCGCACGAGCCCTGAAAATTGAAGCCAAAACGTCTTGATCGCCCCCCGGTGGGTGGTCATGGTATAGGTCATAAACCCCGCCTCCCTGTGTTATTCAACGGCACGCGAGACCAACTAAACAATTAAATCACGCTTCAAATATCGTTTTTCCAAATATCATTTACTGTAGTTTTTATCACGCTGATGTAATTTCAAGTGTTTGTTTTTAAAATAAGTCTGTTTTTAGTTAGTTAGTTGATGCGGTGTCGTGACATCATGATTGACAGATGAGATTGACAGGTTCTCTGAGAGAAACTAAAAAAAAAAAAGAATTTATGTACTGCCTTTATCAATGTTTTGTCATGCCAAAATATAATTTATTTTTTCAATTATAATATATTTAATTATATTAAATGTTCCCCCTAAATGGAAACCTTGTTAAAAAGTGTATGAATTTTATTTTATAAATTTATTAAATGAATTTCGTCATTTAATTCTTTTTAAGTATTTTAATAAAAATCAATGTGTATTTTATTTATTTTTCATTCAAATGTATTTAATTTCTTTTTGTGGATGTAATTGTGGAAGTCGAAACTTACCCCCAAACTAGTCATTTTCTATACAGCCCATATCTGTAACTATTAGGCCAACATTCCCGTCACATCTTACCTCACTCAGATAAATGAAGAACGAACAGGTGGATCCGTCCACTCCGTAGTTTCCGTAGCAGGGGTCCGAACGCCACATGTCCTTCATCCACTGAACATGAGGTAGAAGAAATGAAAAAGAGTTTGTTAGATCAGATAAGGAAAAAAACAAAGTTGTGAGAGACTTTAGGGGTTTTAAAAACCACCAAGTATAAAAAAAATCCCCAGTTGTGCAGGAAGCCGTGTGTCAAGGATGCGGTTTCATTTCCTGACAGGTTTTTGCAGGATATTTATCAGAATCAGCCTGACCTTGAGAAAAACCATTGGTTTCCACTTCCTGTATCCAATTTCTTCTCAAACTGACTCTCTATAGGACGGAAAGGGACTTATTGATCGAACCGTGTGGTTCACTTCACACTAATCAATCCGGGATTTTGAGAAGGATGGCACTGTGCGTTTTTAATGAGTCAGCACTTGACAAAAAAAAGTTCATTTGCATGTAGACAAGCTATTTTACATTGTAAAAGTAGGAAATACTCCATTGTACTTAATTTACATTTAACTAATTAGCATTTGATGAGAAAAAGCTCGGATTCGCATGAAGACGAAACATTTTACGTTGTCCATGCGGAATGCGCGTGTACATGTTTTCGACGCGCACGTTTCACGTCTCATCCTGACGTCATGCGTCTTTCCGGGATCTTTACGGGTTGTGTGTGAACGCACTCACAGATCCCGGCAAATCACTGGCAGTGTGAATGATCCAAAATCAAACAATCCCGGGACAAATGCCGGGTCACATTATCCGTGTATTTTCCGGAATCTCTGTGTGAAAGGGGCTTAAATATTACACCCTCTTCTTTTTCATTGTACGTTTCTATGGTTTAATGGATAAACAAAAGTGTTTTTAGACCTTCTAAGCTTCCAAACTAAAGTCAAACAACTTGGTTAGGCTGTTCTCACTCTATTACTGCAGTCACATTTTTTTTGTTTTAAATCTGTGTGATTTTAAGAGGATTTCCATTTCGCAGGAATTTCCATGAGTTCTAAGACCTGTGATTATTGCGACAGACGACAAGCTCAGGTCTGATCTGACTGAAAAGGCCAACGTGATTGGCCGACTAGCTTCGGGTTGCTCTGCTTGATGTTAAATCCCACGTAATTGGCCCCGTCTGGCTGCTACATCAACGTTCTGTAAAAAAACCCAGAGGGACTCGTTCTGAGTATCGGGTTAGGTCATTAAAAGAAATGCAATTCCAAGAAGGAAAAACTATTATCACATGGTAACAGTCAACTCGGAATTCCTTAACGGATTTTAAAGAGGTCAAATAATGTGATAGAAAACAAACATCAAAAAAAGAGTGATCTTTATTTGTACAATTACATTTTTCAATTGAATTAAAGTGCCCTTATTATGCTTTTTCAAATATGTCCTTTCATGCAGTGTGTAATATGTAATCTGTCTGTTTGTGAACATAAAAGGTCTGAAAAGTTTTAAAGATCAAAGTGCAGTGTTGCGTCCTTAGGGACGGTTAGATTGTTTTCCTTCGGGGTTTGTGTTTTTCTTTTGTCTCTCTTCCTTACTTTCACTTTCGCAGGTCGTCGCTGATTGGCTATAACACCTGTCAATCAGCGTAATGAGCAGGTTTGCCTGGGAGGCGGCACCTGGAGAAGCCCTACTTAAGACGCGTGCTAACCGCGGGAAGAGAGAGAGATTTTTGTGCTTGCTTTGAGAGACTTTGGTTTTGCTTTGAGATGTTTGTTTTTTTTGTTTTCTCTCCAGTTGATTTAGTTCTGTTAAGTGTTTGCTTTATTTTGTCATGTTACGCTTACCTTTTGAGTTTTCCCTGAAATTTCAAATTTGTGAGATTCTGAGTCTGTTAAGCAGCTTTGCAAGGCTGGGTTAGTTGGGAAGGAGAAAAGGGAATAGGTAAGAATGTCACGTGACATACATTTTGCACACTTAGGTTTTTTTGTGTGTGTAGATTCACTAGGTTAGAGATTTGTGCCACCCCCTGTATTTTTGTTATTAGTTAGTGTAGTTTAGATACGGCGTCTAGGACGTTGAAGACTTTTTCTTTGTTCTTTTGTTTTAGTCTAGGTTTAGATTGTTACTTTCGTTTGTTTGGCACAAATCCTGTTTTCCCTTTTTCCTTTTGCCCTTTTTCACATATTATGTTAACCAACCTATTTATTATTAAATTATTTTTCATTATATCTCTGAGTGTCTCTCGTGTTTTCTCAACACATTAAGTGGTCCATAGAGACGTTTGATTGAACCGGTTCTGTGTTCCCCTTCTAATATTCCCTAGACGGGAACGAGCCAGAGAAGGGTCGTAACATGCAGATATATAAAAATATTGTCTCCTAAAAGAAAGAATATATTCTGACCATTGCAGTCTTCATTGGTTGTCTGCAAACAACGTCGACTTTGACGTAGTTAAAAGTGGAAGAGTTTGGTTTGTGTTGTCGATGTGGAGAAGAAGCTGTTTTCAGTGCTGCTAAAGCCAATTGGTTTCCGACTCATGGTGCAACCAGTAGACCAATCACAACACTGGGCCATCTGACCAATCAGAGCAGAGTAGACCAATCACAACACTGGGCCATCTGACCAATCAGAGCAGAGTAGACCAATCACAACACTGGGCCATCTGACCAATCAGAGCAGAGTAGACCAATCACAACACTGGGCCATCTGACCAATCAGAGCAGAGTAGACCAATCACAACAGACTGGGTCGTCTAACCAATCAGAGCAGAGTAGATCAATCATAACAGACTGGGTCTTCTGACCAATCAGAGCAGAGTAGACCAATCATAACACAGGGCCATCTGACCAATCACAGCAGGGTAGACCAATCACAACACTGGGCCATCTGACCAATCAGAGCAGAGTAGACCAATCATAACAGACTGGGTCGTCTGACCAATCAGAGCAGAGTAGACCAATCACAACACTGGGCCATCTGACCAATCAGAGCAGAGTAGACCAATCATAACAGACTGGGTCGTCTGACCAATCAGAGCAGAGTAGACCAATCACAACACTGGGCCATCTGACTAATCAGAGCAGAGTAGACCAATCACAACAGACTGGGTCATCTGACCAATCAGAGCAGAGTAGACCAATCACAACAGACTGGGTCATCTGACCAATTAGAACAAACAAAGCTCTCAGAGAGAAGGGTTTTAGAGAGACTGAATCCTTTATCGAACCGTTTCAGACCCTGTGAGGAACGGAGTGATGTGCAATGTATATTGTGAGAAAATTAAAGAGTTTTGATCTTGATCTTTTGATGCATGCAACCTGGAGACCTCCAAAACATAATTAGGAGCCTTTGAAATAGCATAATACGGGCACTTTAATACTAAGAAGAGGCATATTACAGACTAATTAATAAATAAAATTAACAATTAATTAAAGCCACAGTGTCTGTAAATGACAAGTCCAAACTATTTTTGTTTTATTCTTCCTTATCCTTTTCCAACCTTTCCCAAAGCCCATGGTCCTCGTAGTACTCCACTCATTAATAACACCATAGCAGTTTAAAGCTTTCAAATGTCTCAAAACAAATCAATATCTTGCTGTTAATGTTTGTAAGGGGAACATCCCGCTGAGAGCTTTTAATTTTCCCTGTCTGGATTCAAGATGAAAATGGTTTCTAAATAAAGTCCAACAGATGAGAAGCCATCTCGAGAAAGACAGTGGCAGCTGTTAAAGAGGGATTTTAACAAGTCTCAGAACGAGAAGCTTTTCTCAGCACGTTTGAGAAAACACTCACCTTCAACTTGCCTTCACAATGAGGAAACCCATCAAGCGAGGGTAGTTCACATTTCTCCTGTGCTCCGTTCAGCAAGTCTGGGCACACAGAGAGAAAGAAAGAAAGGAACATAATAAGCACACAACAGTCCCAAAACTACACAAATCACAGCTGAAAATCAACACGCTTGCTCAGCACACACCAGCATTCGACTGGAAGATAAATACCATCCAATTATCATACAATACACTCTCAAATTAACTCTGTAACACAATATTAGGGTCCCAAACCCACATAGTGATTACAAAGCATTCAAATTTTCTCAATCAAGCAGTGTTGCCTCATATGAACTGAAGAAAAAAATACAGAAAAGCAAACCAATTTTAGCGAAGTGTAGATGGGCCTTAATCATGAAAAACAAGCACAAAACATTTGTTTGTAATTTGTGAATAAGCCATCCCTATGTAAATGTTCCCTTTTAAGCAGATAAGAAAATGGGAAATTTATGTAAAAATGAGATTCGTGAATGATTTGCACACAAATTTGTTCTGCTTATGTTTCATGAAGAGGGTCCAATGTGTGATTGGTTTAAAACAGTTTTTATGCTAAGTACATCCATAAACTTGTAGCGCAACATTTACTGTTAACGACCCTTGAGACTGAATACTACACAATGACAACTGAAAATAAACGAGCTTTTGGGAACTTGGCCAGGGAATGAGATCAATAATCCAGTTAACACAGCAAATTAACACAGTGTGAAATTAACACTAGACCCAAACACACACATCTTGCCAAGTGCATTCAAAATATCTTGAAATAAGTTCTGTTGTCACTTTGCACTGCGAGAGGAAAGGGGAAAAAATAACAAATCAGTCGCAAACTTAATCCATGTTGTATAATACATTTTTTAAGGTTCATAAGTTTGATAAGAACAGGACTTCCTGCCATCTTTCTACTAACAATACCCGTTACATCATAATTATTGTGTTTGTGCATTCACTTCTAACTTGAGTTGAGATAAGAAGAGTTAGGAGAGTTTAGAAGAGTTGAGATGAGAAGAGTTGAGGAGAGTTTAGAAGAGTTGAGTTTAGAAGAGCTGAGATGAGAAGAGTTGAGGAGAGTTTAGAAGAGTTGAGTTTAGAAGAGTTTAGATGAGAAGAGTTAGGAGAGTTTAGAAGAGTTGAGATGAGAAGAGTTGAGGGGAGTTTAGAAGAGTAGAGATAAGAAGAGTTGAGGAGAGTTTAGAAGAGTTGAGTTTAGAAGAGTTGAGATGAGAAGAGTTGAGATGAGAAGAGTTTAGAAGAGTTGAGATGAGAAGAGTTTAAAAGAGTTGAGATGAGAAGATTTAAGAAGAGTTTAGAAGAGTTGAGATGAGAAGATTTAAGAAGAGTTTAGAAGAGTTGAGATGAGAAGAGTTGAGATGAGAAGAGTTGAGGAGAGTTGAGATGAGAAGAGTTTTAAAGAGTTGAGATGAGAAGAGTTTTGAATAGTTGAGTAGAAAAGAGTTGAGGAGAGTTGAGATGAGAAGATTAGAAGAGTTTAGAAGAGTTGAGATGAGAAGAGAAGAGTGGAGGAGAGTTAAGAAGAGTTGAGTTGGGAAGAGTTGAGATTAGAAGAGTTTTAAATAGCTGAGTAGAGAAGAGTTGAGGAGAGTTGAGATGAGAAGAGTTGAGGAGAGTTTAGAAGAGTTGAGATGAGAAGAGTTGAGGAGAGTTGAGATGAGAAGAGTTGAGGAGAGTTTAGAAGAGTTGAGATGAGAAGTGTTGAAATGAGAAGAGAAGAGTGGAGGAGAGTTAGGAAGAGTTGAGTTGGGAAGAGTTGAGATGAGAAGAGTTTTAAAGAGTTGAGATGAGAAGAGTTTTGAATAGTTGAGTAGAGAAGAGTTGAGGAGAGTTGAGATGAGAAGGGGTGAGATGAGAAGAGTTTAGAAGAGTTGAGATGAGAAGAGTTGAGGAGAGTTTAGAAGAGTTGAGATGAGAAGAGTTTTAAAGAGTTGAGATGAGAAGAGTTTTGAATAGTTGAGTAGAGAAGAGTTGAGGAGAGTTGAGATGAGAAGAGTTGAGGAGAGTTTAGAAGAGTTGAGATGAGAAGAGTTTTGAATAGTTGAGATGATAAGAGTTTAGAAGAGTTGAGATGAGAAGAGTTGAAGTGAGAAGAGAAGAGTGGAGGAAAGTTAAGAAGAGTTGAGTTGGGAAGAGTTGAGATGAGAAGAGTTTTAAAGAGTTGAGATGAGAAGAGTTTTGAATAGTTGAGTAGAGAAGAGTTGAGGAGAGTTGAGATGAGAAGAGTTGATGGAAAAGTGAGAGGAATCCAAGTGAGATGAGATGAGAGGAGATAAAAAGAAAGTTGAAATGACATGATATAACATGAAAAGAGTGGAGAGGAAACTAGGTGAGATGATGAGATGATACAAAACGAAAGGAGGGGAAACCGGGTGAAGTGAGAGGAGATGACTCAAAATGAGATGAGAGGAGTGAAAAGAGTGAAATGAGACAAGTATAGACAGTAGAGCTGCATGATTCATGATCAATCGAGAATCATGATCTTTTGGGGATAAAATGGAGATCTCTACAGATCAGCGGCGGCGAGAACGCAGATTTGAATGTTGCAGTGTGATAATTGTACTGTCAAAGGTTAACCAAAGTCCCTAAAGTCTTTGTTTAAACAGTTTCACTTCGCAAGCGTCAGCAGAGTGCGAGCGGTGTTTTCCCACCGCTCATTATATCAATGAACGAGAGCATTCATATTGAAATCAAGACGACCAACTCTCATCCATTAACATAGACAGCGACAAAATATGTGCCATTCACGCTTGCGATGTGTAACAGGCCTAAGACATAGTAGAATCACTGTCATCTAGGAATAAGATCGCGTGGGTGTTTGAATCGAGATTGCGACCTTTTAACGATTAATCGTGCAGCTCTAATAAGGAGAGAAGAAAGAGGAGACAAAAAGAAATTAGATGAGAGGAGAAACCAGATAAGATGAAATGAATATAAATGATATAAGAGGAGCCAAGATGAGACGAGAGGAGAGAAAACTAGGAGAGGAAAGGAGAGAAAAGCGAGAGAAGGAGAAGAAACAAGATAAGGCAAAATGAAAGCAGATGAGGTGAGATGAGAGGAAATAAGATGTGAGTGTATTGGAGAAATAGAGGCAAGAAGAAAGAAGGAGAGATGCGACAAATGAAAGACGAGATGAGAGGAGACAAGACGGGATAAAGGGAGGACACAAACTGCAGCCATGCAAGGGTGTTAGCCATGTGATTTCCAATTATTTGATTTGCAAGGATTGGATCATCTTTCTGCTCTCTTTCTCTCCTTCATAAAGCGTTAAGACATGACGGCGCTCTAGAACAATGAACCTAAAACAGTCACAGCGCACATTAAGAGCACTTCCTGTAAACGAAACAAACACCCCACTGAAGGGAACCACCAAACTATAAAGGACGTATATGACATTCATGAATCCACATCGTTTAAGGTCACATGCTAAAAGAATTTAGGCCATTTTATTGAGTCACATGACACAAATAACTCAAAGGTCATGGGAGAAACAAATCAAAATGAGCCCAAATATAGCTGAAAGACAGAAAAAGAGGGCTGACTACAAAGAGAAGATAAAAACAAGCTGTGAAATATGTCTCTCAACACTAACTCAATCAGCCAGTTGGCTGTTTAACATACAAACACAAATTAGACCTAAATTAGACCTAAAATAGACCTAATTTAGACCATAATTATGCCAAAACCTGATCTGTTTCACATACACACCAGACATCCTCATCTACCACAGAGTAAATTTGAAAAAAATACCCTTATTGTATCTACCATATCTTTTTTATAAAACTACTCAATATGCTTTTTGCGAAATTGAGCCCTAATTTGCAATACTGGAGTCCCAAATCATAACATGCTGGAAAAAGTGCAGAAACATTGCTTGGTTGGTGTACGATTTTTAAAGTGTGCACCCACAATCCCTTGCGTCACTTAATACAATTTGTTTGTGGTGGTTTTCTATCGACTTGTTCTGTTTAAAATGAGATGAGAGGAAATGAGATTAGACAAGAGAGGTTAATGGCAAGGCATTATGGGATGTGGTGACATCATCACCACAGAAATGCATTGTTGATTGGCTCAGAACGTCATGCTAGACATATAGTCATGTATTTTTTTTTTTTCTATGATGAACTTTATTGAACGTCCTCATTACTGTCAGGTGCAAAAACAATGATTAGCCGAGAGAGAGACAACTTCTTCCGCATGTGTTGGTACATAAAAACAGCTGTGCTTGACAGGCTTAACTTACACCCTTTCTCATAAACCCACACAGATGGGCATTTGCCATCACACACTCCTCCAGGCTAGTGCGAGACCCTGCACGACAAACACAACAATCATCAAGCAGACAATGAGTGTGTCTTTCAACGAGATGAAAACAGCAAGAAATGGAGGAGCGAGAGAGGAAAAGCACTCAGGAAAGCTGTCTCTCTCTCTCTTTTGCGCTTCAGTGAGACAAATTTCCCTCAGAGCAGCCGCGTGCGTTTGTCTCTCTCACGCCAGAAAACACACACCAAGGGCACTTCTACAGAGAGGGAATGTACAGTGCTGTGTGTGTATAATCTCTGTTCTAGGCGATTTGAGGCCATTCAGTCTCCCTGCCAAGCAGGAATGGTTTTGAAGAAGCTTGCAAATGGATGTGACTCACACACTTTTAATTTTTAAATGAGTTCAGATCATAGATGATTGCTGTTTAAATAAAGGTGAATCTCATGAAATCAAGTCCAAGCCACAGTGCACATACTGTATACTGTGCAAGTATATATATAAAGAGACATTATTTTCATCAAAATGCTCAAAATTTGCCAAATTAAACATGGTCATTAAAAATTTTTTAATGAACATTTTTAATATAGTATTCATAAAAAAATCTATTAAATAATATTAATATCAATCTGAATGGAAACTTTGCATGTATATATACACACACACTTTATATATATATATATATTTTTTTTTGCATTATAGTAAAGAGAATATTTAGCATTAGAATAGCATAATGCTATTTCGAAAAAAATAATATTTTTAGGAGCACA